GAAATCTGAAGAGCACGGCGAATCCGTGTGGGGACTCTGTGGCCCGATTTTCTTGAAAAATAAGAGACAGAGCACAGAGAAAAGCAAATCCGTGTGGGGCGCAATCTGTGGCCCAATTATTTTGAAAAAGAACAGAGATCAAAGAATCCGTGTGGGGCGCTATCTGTGAATTTCCTTGATAATCATGGAGAGCACAGCAAATCCGTGTGGGGCGCAATCTGTGGATTTCGTTTGAAATCATGAAGAGCACAGCAAATCCGTGTGAGGCCCACTCTGTGGTCCGATTTTCTTGGAAAAGAACAGACAGAGCACAGAGCACAGCAAATCCGTGAGGGGTCAATCTGTGGCCCGATTATCTTGAAAAAGAACAGAGCACAGGGAATCCGGGTGGGGCGCTATCTGTGAATTTCCTTGATAATCATGGAGAGTACAGCGAATCCGTGGGGGCGCAATCTGTGCATTTCGTTGGAAATCATGAAAAGCACAGCCGTGGTTCAATACTATTTTATGCTATGAGTTGCACTGATGAGGCCTCATTGGCCGAAACAGTCTGGCTGTCTGCATCATTGAGCATTTCGCTCCTCGATTTCGATCTTGTGGAGCACTCTCAATAGCACTCTCAATAAGTCTGGCTGTCTGCAGCATTGAACAGGAATAAACAGAGCACAGAGAATCCGTGTTGGGCGCTATCTGTGAATTTCCTTGATAATCATGGAGAGCACAGCAAATCCGTGTGGGCGCAATCTGTGGATTTCGTTGGAAATCATGAAGCGCACAGCGAATCCGTGTGGGGACTCTGTGGCACGATTTTCTCGTAATGGAACATACAAAGCACAGAGAATCTGTGTGGGGCGCTATCTGTGAATTTCCCTGAAAAACATGAAGAGGACAGTGAATCCGTGTGGGGCGCAATCTATTGATTTCAGTGGAAATCATGAGGAGCGCAGCGAATCTGTGCGGAGGAAAAGAACAGAGAGAGCACAGCGAATCCGTGTGGGGCGCTATCTGTGAATTTCCTTGATAATCATGGAGAGCACAGCAAATCCGTGTGGGGCGCATTCTGTGGATTTCGTTGGAAATCTGAAGAGCACTGCGAATCCGTGTGGGGGACTCTGTGGCCCAATTTTCTTGAAAAAGAACGGACAGAGCACAGAGAACAGCAAATCCGTGTGGGGCGCAATCTGTGGCCCGAATTTCTTGAAAAAGAACAGACACACAGCGAATGCGTGTGGGGCGCTATCTGTGAATTTCCTTGATAATCATGGAGAGCACAGCAAATCCGTGTGGGGGGACTCTGTGGCGCGAGTTTCTTGAAATGGAACATACAAAGCACAGAGAATCTGTGTGGGGCGCTTTCTGTGAATTTCCCTGAAAAACATGAAGAGGACAGTGAATCCGTGTGGGGCGCAATCTATGGATTTCGTTGGAAATCATCAAGAGCGCAGCGAATCTGTGTGGGTGAAAAGAACAGACAGGGCACAGCGAATCCGTGTGGGCGGCGCTATCTGTGAATTTCCTTGATAATCATGGAGAGACAAGCAAATCCGTGTGGGGCGCAATCTGTGGAATTCGTTGGAAATCTTAAGAGCACGGCGAATCCGTGTGGGGACTCTGTGGCCCGATTTTCTTGAAAAATAAGAGACAGAGCACAGCAAATCCGTGTGGGGCGCAATCTGTGGCCCGATTATTTTGAAAAAGGGCAGAGATCAAAGAATCCGTGTGGGGCGCTATCTGTGAATTTCCTTGATAATCATGGAGAGCACAGCAAATCCGTGTGGGGCGCAATCTGTGGATTTCGTTTGAAATCATGAAGAGCACGGCAAATCCGTGTGAGGCCCACTCTGTAGTCCGATTTTCTTGAAAAGAACAGACAGAGCACAGAGCACAGCAAATCCGTGTGGGGTCAATCTGTGGCCCGATTATCTTGAAAAAGAACAGAGCACGGGGAATCCGCGTGGGGCGCTATCTGTGAATTTCCTTGATAATCATGGAGAGCACGGCGAATCCGTGTGGGACGCAATCAGTGCATTTCGTTGGAAATCATGAAAGGCACAGCCGTTGCTGACAGTTCAATACGATTTTAACCTATGAGTTGCACTGATGAGGCCTCATTGGCCGAAACAGTCTGGCTGTCTGCATTATTGAGTATTTCGCTCCTCGATTTATATCTTGTAGAGCACTCTCAATAGCACTCTCAATCAGTCTGGCTGTCTGCAGCATTGAACAGGAATAAACAGAGCACAGAGAATCCGTGTTGGGTGCTATCTGTGAATTTCCTCATAATCACGGAGAGCACAGCGAATCCGTGTGGGGGACCCTGTGGCCCGATTTTCTTGAAAAAGAACGGACAGAGCACAGAGCACAGCAAATCCGTGTGGGGCGCAATCTGTGGCCCGATTTTCTTGAAAAAGAACAGAGCACAGCGAATCCGTGTGGGGCGCTATCTGTGAATTTCCTTGATAATCATGGAGAGCACAGCAAATCCGCGTGGGGGGACTCTGTGGCGCGATTTTCTTACAAAGAACAGAGAATCTGTGTGGGGCGCTATCTGTGAATTTCCTTGAAAAACATGAAGAAGACAGTGAATCCGTGTTGGCCGCAATCTATGGATTTCGTTGGAAATCATCAAGAGCGCAGCGTATCTGTGTGGGTGTAAAGAACAGACAGGGCACAGCGAATCCGTGTGGGGCGGCGCTATCTGTGAATTTCCTTAATAATCATGGAGAGCACAGCAAATCCGTGCGGGGCGCAATCTGTGGATTTCGTTGGAAATCTGAAGAGCACGGCGAATCCGTGTGGGGACTCTGTGGCCAGATTTTCTTGAAAAATAAGAGACAGAGCACGGCGAATCCGTGTGAGGACTCTGTGGCCAGATTTTCTTGAAAAAAAAAAAGACAGAGCACAGCAAATCCGTGTGGGGCGCAATCTGTGGCCCAATTATTTTGAAAAAGAACAGAGATCAAAGAATCCGTGTGGGGCGCTATCTGTGAATTTCCTTGATAATCATGGAGAGCACAGCAAATCCGTGTGGGGCGCAATCTGTGGATTTCGTTTGAAATCATGATGAGCACAGCAAATCGGTGTAAGGCCCATTCTGTGGCCCGATTTTGTTGGAAAAGAACAGACAGAGCACAGAGCACAGCAAATCCGTGTGGGGTCAATCTGTGGCCCGATTATCTTGAAAAAGAACAGAGCACAGGGAATCCGCGAGGGGCGCTATCTGTGAATTTCCTTGATAATCATGGAGAGTACAGCGAATCCGTGGGGGCGCAATCTGTGCATTTCGTTGGAAATCATGAAAAGCACAGCCGTGGCTGACAACTTTAGTTCAATACGATTTTAACCTCTGAGTTGCACTGATGAGGCCTCATTGGCCGAAACAGTCTGGCTGTCTGCATCATTGAGTATTTCGCTCCTCGATTTATATCTTGTAGAGCACTCTCAATAGCACTCTTAATCAGTCTGGCTGTCTGCAGCATTGAACAGGAATAAACAGAGCACAGATAATCCGTGTTGGGTGCTATCTGTGAATTTCCTCATAATCACGGAGAGCACAGCGAATCCGTGTGGGGGACCCTGTGGCCCGATTTTCTTGAAAAAGAACGGACAGAGCACAGAGCACAGCAAATCCGTGTGGGGCGCAATCTGTGGCCCGATTTTCTTGAAAAAGAACAGAGCACAGCGAATCCGTGTGGGGCGCTATCTGTGAATTTCCTTGATAATCATGGAGAGTACAGCAAATCCGTGTGGGGGGACTCTGTGGCGCGATTTTCTTGAAATGGAACGTACAAAGAACAGAGAATCTGTGTGGGGCGCTATCTGTGAATTTCCTTGAAAAACATGAAGAAGACAGTGAATCCGTGTTGGCCGCAATCTATGGATTTCGTTGGAAATCATCAAGAGCGCAGCGTATCTGTGTGGGTGTAAAGAACAGACAGGGCACAGCGAATCCATGTGGGGCGGCGCTATCTGTGAATTTCCTTGATAATCATGGAGAGCACAGCAAATCCGTGCGGGGCGCAATCTGTGGATTTCGTTGGAAATCTGAAGAGCACGGCGAATCCGTGTGGGGACTCTGTGGCCAGATTTTCTTGAAAAATAAGAGACAGAGCACGGCGAATCCTCGTGGGGACTCTGTGGCCAGATTTTCTTGAAAAAATAAAGACAGAGCACAGCAAATCCGTGTGGGGCGCAATCTGTGGCCCGATTATTTTGAAAAAGGGCAGAGATCAAAGAATCCGTGTGGGGCGCTATCTGTGAATTTCCTTGATAATCATGAAGAGCACAGCAAATCCGTGCGGGGCGCAATCTGTGGATTTCGTTGGAAATCTGAAGAGCACGGCGAATCCGTGTGGGGACTCTGTGGCCAGATTTTCTTGAAAAATAAGAGACAGAGCACGGCGAATCCGTGTGGGGACTGTGGCCAGATTTTCTTGAAAAAAAAAAGACAGAGCACAGCAAATCCGTGTGGGGCGCAATCTGTGGCCCGATTATTTTGAAAAAGAACAGAGATCAAAGAATCCGTGTGGGGCGCTATCTGTGAATTTCCTTGATAATCATGGAGAGCACAGCAAATCCGTGTGGGGCGCAATCTGTGGATTTCCTTTGAAATCATGATGGGCACAGCAAATCCGTGTAAGGCCCATTCTGCGGCCCGATTTTGTTGGAAAAGAAAGACAGAGCACAGAGCACAGCAAATCCGTGTGGGGTCAATCTGTGGCCCGATTATCTTGAAAAAGAACAGAGCACAGGGAATCCGCGAGGGGCGCTATCTGTGAATTTCCTTGATAATCATGGAGAGTACAGCGAATCCGTGGGGGCGCAATCTGTGCACTTCGTTGGAAATCATGAAAAGCACAGCCGTGGCTGACAGTTCAATACGATTTTAACCTCTTGAGTTGCACTGATGAGGCCTCATTGGCCGAAACAGTCTGGCTGTCTGCATCATTGAGTATTTCGCTCCTCGATTTATATCTTGTAGTGCACTCTCAATAGCACTCTCAATCAGTCTGGCTGTCTGCAGCATTGAACAGGAATAAACAGAGCACAGAGAATCCGTGTTGGGTGCTATCTGTGAATTTCCTCATAATCACGGAGAGCACAGCAAATCCGTGTGGGGCGCAATCTGTGGATTTCGTTTGATGTATGTGTGTGTACATTCATGTACATACATGTATGTGAATGTACATACATGTATGCATATACATGAATGCACATGAATGTACATGAATGTGCATGAATGTGCATGAATGTGCATGAATGTGCATGAATGTGCATAAATGTGCATGAATGTGCATGAATGTGCATAAATGTGCATGAATGTGCATGAATTTACTCATGTACATGTACTCATATGTACATGAATATACATGAATGTGCATTAGTGTGCATGAATACACAGGAATGTACAAGTACAATCGTACATAATGTGCATGAATGTGCATAAATGTACATGAATGTATATGAATGCACATGAATGTAAATGATTGTACATAAATGTACAGGAATGTGCATGAATGTATGTGAATGTACATACTCGGACATGAATTGTGCATGAATGTGCATGAATGTACTCATGTACATTAACACCAATGCACATGAATGTACATGAGTGTGTGCATGAATGTACATGAATGTGTACATGAATGTACATGAATGTGTGCATGAATGTACATGAATGTACATGAATGTACATGAACGTACATGAACGTACATGAATGTACATGAGTGGATATGAATGTACATGTTCGTGTACATGATTGTACATGTGTGTATGTAAATTGTACTTGAATGTACCTGAGAGTACGTGAATGTACATTAACGTTCATGAATATGAACATACATGAACGTACATGAACACAGGTCAATGTACGTTAATTTACATGAATGTTCATGAATGTACATGAATATACATGAATGTACACGAATGTACACGAATGTATGTACATGAATGCACATGAATGCACATGAATGCACATGAATGTACATGAATGTACATGAATGTACATAAATGTAAATGAACGTACGTGAATGTACATGAAGAATGTGCGTGAATGTACATGAATGTACATGATTGTACATTCATGTACATGAATGTACATGAATGTACATGGAATGTACATGAATGTACACATGAATGTACATGAATGAATGTACACATGAATGTACATGAATGTACATGAATGTACATGAATGTTCATGAATGTACATGAATATACATGAATGTACACGAATGTACACGAATGTACACGAATGAACATGAATGTACATGAATGCACATGAATGCACATGAATGCACATGAATGTACATGAATGTACATGAATGTACATAAATGTACATGAACGTACGTGAATGTACATGAAGAATGTGCGTGAATGTACATGAATGTACATGATTGTACATTCATGTACATGAATGTACATGAATGTACATGGAATGTACATGAATGTACACATGAATGTACATGAATGTACACATGAATGTACATGAATGTACACATGAATGTACATGAATGTACATGAATGTACATGAATGTACATGAATGTACATGAATGTACATGAATGTACATGAATGTACATGAATGTACATGAATGTACATGAATGTACATGAATGTACATGAATGTACATGAATGTACATGAATGTACATGAATGTACATGAATGTACATGAATGTACATGAATGTACATGAATGTACATGAATGTACATGAATGTACATGAATTCGTACATGAATGTACATGAATGTACATGAATGTACATGAATGTACATGAATGTACATGAATGTACATGAATGTACATGAATGTACATGAATGTACATGAATGTACATGAATGTACATGAATGTACATGAATGTACATGAATGTACATGAATGTACATGAATGTACATGAATATACATGAATGTACATGAATGTACATGAATGTACATGAATGTACATGAATGTACATGAATGTACATGAATGTACATGAATGTACATGAATGTACATGAATGTACATGAATGTACATGAATGTACATGAATGGACATGAATGTACATGAATGTACATGAATGTACATGAATGTACATGAATGTACATGAACATTCATGTACATTCATATTTTATTATTTTATGTTCATGACCATTCATGTACATTAATATTTTATTATTTTATGTTCATGAACATTCTTGTACATTCATATTTTATTATTTTATGTTCATGAACATTCATGTACATTCATGAACATTCATGTACATTCATGTACATTCATGAACATTCATGTACATTCATGTACATTCATGTACATTCATGTTCATTCATGTACATTGTACATGAGTACATTCATGTACATTCATGTACATTCATGTACATTCATGTACATTCATGTACATTCATGTACATTCATGTACATTCATGTACATTTTTGTACATTCATGTACATTCATGTACATTCATGTACATTCATGTACATTCATGTACATTCATGTACATTCATGTACATTCATGTACATTCATGTACATTCATGTACATTCATGTACATTCATGTACATTCATGTACATTCATGTACATTCATGTACATTCATGTACATTCATGTACATTCATGTACATTCATGTACATTCATGTACATTCATGTACATTCATGTACATTCATGTACATTCATGTACATTCATGTACATTCATGTACATTCATGTACATTCATGCACATTCATGTACATACATGCACATTCATGTACATTCATGTACATTCATGGACATTCATGTACATTCATGGACATTCATGTACATTCACGTACATTCATGTACATTCATGTACATTCATGTACATTCATGTACATTCATGTACATTCATGTACATTCATGTACATTCATGTACATTCATGTACATTCATGTACATTCATGCACATTCATGTACATACATGCACATTCATGTACATTCATGTACATTCATGGACATTCATGTACATTCATGGACATTCATGTACATTCACGTACATTCATGTACATTCATGTACATTCATGTACATTCATGTACATACATGTACATTCATGTATATTCATGTACATTCATGTACATGAATGTACATTCATGTACATTCATGTACATTCATGTACATTCATGTACATTCATGTACATTCATGTACATTCATGTACATTCATGTACATTCATGTACATTCATGTACATTCATGTACATTCATGTACATTCATGTACATTCATGTACATTCATGTACATTCATGTACATTCATGTACATTCATGTACATTCATGTACATTCATGTACATTCATGTGAATCACATTCATGTACATTCATGTACATTCATGTACATTCATGTGTTGTACAATTACCTGTAATTGTGAATGGTCATGAAAGCAGAACATCGACATACATGAATGCAGAACATGAATGTACAAAGAAACCTGAATATAGATGAATGCAGCATATGCAGAATATGTAAGTACACAAATGTACATGAATGAAGTACAATGACCATGTATGTATGGGGAAAATGTACATGAATGTACATGAATGTACATGAATGTACATGAATGTACATGAATGTACATGAATGTACATGAATGTACATGAATGTACATGAATGTACATGAATGTACATGAATGTACATGAATGTACATGAATGTACATGAATGTACATGAATGTACATGAATGTACATGAATGTACATGAATGTACATGAATGTACATGAATGTACATGAATGTACATGAATGTACATGAATGTACATGAATGTACATGAATGTACATTATACATTCATGTACATTCATGTACATTTTCCCCATACATACATGGTCATTGTACTTCATTCATGTACATTTGTGTACTTACATATTCTGCATATGCTGCATTCATCTATATTCAGGTTTCTTTGTACATTCATGTTCTGCATTCATGTATGTCGATGTTCTGCTTTCATGACCTTTCACAATTACAGGTAATTGTACAACACATGAATGTACATGAATGTACATGAATGTACATGAATGTACATGAATGTACATGAATGTACATGAATGTACATGAATGTACATGAATGTACATGAATGTACATGAATGTACATGAATGTACATGAATGTACATGAATGTACATGAATGTACATGAATGTACATGAATGTGATTCACATGAATGTACATGAATGTACATGAATGTACATGAATGTACATGAATGTACATGAATGTACATATGAATGTACATGAATGTACATTCATGTACATTCATGTACATGAATGTACATGAATATACATGAATGTACATGTATGTACATGAATGTACATGAATGTACATGAATGTACATGAATGTACATGAATGTACATGAATGTACATGAATGTACATGAATGTACATGAATGTACATGAATGTACATGAATGTACATGAATGTCCATGAATGTACATAAATGTCCATGAATGTACATGAATGTACATGAATGTGCATGAATGTACATGAATGTGCATGAATGTACATGAATGTACATGAATGTACATGAATGTATGTACATGAATGTACATGAATGTACATGAATGTACAAGAATGTACATGAATGTACATGAATGTACATGAATGTACATGAATGTACATGAATGTACATGAATGTACATGAATGTACATGAATGCACATGAATGTACATGAATGTACATGAATGTACATGAATGTACATGAATGTTCATGAATGTACAAAAATGTACATGAATGTACATGAATGTACATTCATGTACATTCATGTACATTCATGTACATTCATGTACATTCATGTACATTCATGTACATTCATGTACATTCATGTACATTCATGTACATTCATGTACATTCATGTACATTCTTGTACATTCATGTACATTCATGTACATACATTCATGTACATTCATGTACATTCATGTACATTCATGCACACATGAATGTTCATGAATGTACATGAATGTACATGAATGTTGTAAGATCATGTACATTCATGTACAGTACAGTACGTTCGTGAACATTTATGTACATTCATGTATATTCATGTACATTCATGTACATTCATGTACGTACATGTACATTCATGTATATTCGTGTACATTCATGTACATTCACGTACGAATGTACATTCATGTACATTCATGTACATTTATGTACATTCATATGCATTCATGTGCATTCATGTACATACATGTACATTCATGTTCATTTGTGTACATTCATGTACATTCATGTACCTTTATGTATATTCATGTACATTTATGTATGTATGTACATTCATGAACATTTATGTATGTATGTACATTCATGAACATTCATGTAAATTAACGTACATTGACGTGTGTAAATGTACGTTCATGTATTTTTATATTCATGAACGTTGTTTATTCACGTACTCTCATGTACATTCAAGTACAATTTACATACACTTATGTACATTAATGCACAATCATGTTCACGAACATGTACATTCATATCCACTCATGTACATTCATGTACGTTCATGTACGTTCATGTACATTCATGTACATTCATGCACATTCATGTACATTACACATTCATGCACGTTCATGTACATTCATGTACATTCATGTACATTCATGAACATTCATGTAAATAAACGTTCATGTATGTTCATATTCATGAACGTTAATGTACATTCACGTACTCTCATGTACATTCAAGCACAATTTACATACACTTATGTACATTAATGTACAATCATGTACACGAACATGTACATTCATATCCACTCATGTACGTACATTCATGTACGTTCATGTACGTTCATGTACATTCATGTACATTCATGCACATTAATGTACATTACACATTCATGTACGTTCATGTACGTTCATGTACATTCATGCACATTCATGTACATTCATGCACACACACATGTACATTCGTGTTAATGTACATGAGTACATTCATGCACATTCATGAACAATCATATACATTCATGTCCGAGTATGTACATTCACGTACATTCATGCACATTCCTGTACATTTATGTGCAATCATTTACATTCATGTACGAATGTACATGTACATTCATGTGCATTCAGATACATTCATGTACATTTATGCACATTCATGCACATTTATGTACGAATGTACTTGTACATTCATGTTTATTCATGCACATACAGGTACATATGAGAGTACATGTACATGAGTAAATTCATGCACATTCATGCACAATCATGTACATTCATGCACATTCATGCACATTCATGCACATTCATGCACATTCATGCACATTCATGCACGTTCATGTACATACATGCACATTCATGTACATTCGTGTGCATTCATGTGTATACATACATAAATGTATGTACATGAATGTACATACAAACATCAAACGAAATCCACAGATTGCGCCCCACACGGATTTGCTGTGCTTTCCGTGATTATGAGGAAATTCACAGATAGCGCCCAACGCGGATTCTCTGTGCTCTGTTTATTCCTGTTCAATGCTGCAGACAGCCAGACTGATTGAGAATGATATTGAGAGTGCTCCACAAGGTCGAAATCGAGGAGCGAAATACTCAATGATGCAAAAAGCCAGACTGTTTCGGCCAATGAGGCCTCGTCAGTGCAACTCATAGGTTAAAATCGTATTGAACTGTCAGCAACGGCTGTGCTTTTCATGATTTCCAACGAAATGCACAGATTGCGTCCCCACGGATTCGCTGTACTCTCCATGATTATCAAGGAAATTCACAGATAGCGCCCCTCGCGGATTCCCTGTGCTCTGTTCTTTTTCAAGATAATCGGGCCCCAGATTGACCCCACACGAATTTGCTGTGCTCTGTGCTCTGTCTGTTCTTTTCCAAGTAAATCGGGCCAGAGAATGGGCCTTACACGGATTTGCTGTGCTCTCAATGATTTTATCAAGGAAATTTACAGATAGCGCCCCACACGGATTCTTTGTTCTCTGTTCTTTTTCAAAATAATCGGGCCACAGATTGCGCGTCAACACTGATTTGCTGTGCTCTCTCTTATTTTTCAAGAAAATCGGGCCAGACTGATTTGCTGTGCTCTCTCTTATTTTTCAAGAAAATCGGGCCAGAGAGTCCCCACACGGATTCGCCGTGCTCTTCAGATTTCCAACGAAATCCACAGATCGCATGCGCCCCACACGGATTTGCTGTGCTCTCCATGACTATCAAGGAAATTCACAGTTAGCGCCGCACACGGATTCGCTGTGCCCTGTCTGTTCTTTTCCCCACAAAGATTCGCTGCGCTCTTGATGATTTCGAACGAAATCCATAGATTGCGCCCAACACGGATTCACTGTCCTCTTCATGTTTTTCAGGGAAATTCACAGAAAGCGCCCCACACAGATTCTCTGTGCTTTGTATGTTCCATTTCAAGAAAATCGCGCCACAGAATCCCACACACGGATTTGCTGTGCTCTCCATGATTATCAAGGAAATTCACAGATAGCGCCCCACACGGATGGATTCGCTGTGCTCTGTTCTTTTTCAAGAAAACCGGGCCACAGATTGCGCCCCACACGGATTTGCTGTGCTCTGTGCTCTGTCTGTTCTTTTTCAAGAAAATCGGGCCCCAGAGTCCCCCACACGGATTCGCTGTGCTCTTCAGATTTCCAACGAAATCAACAGATTGCGCCCTACACGGATTTGCTGTGCTCTCCATGATTATCAAGGAACTTCATAGATAGCGCCGCACACGGATTCGCTGTGCTCTCTCTGTTCTTTTCCCCCACACAGATTCGCTGCGCTCATCATGATTTCCAGCGAAATCTATGGATTTCGCTGGAAATCATGATGAGCGCAGCGAATCTGTGTGGGGGAAACATATATTTCGCCCCACACGGATTCACTGTCCTCTTCATGTTTTTCAGGGAAATTCACAGATAGGGCCCCACACAGATTCTCTGTGCTTTGTATGTTCCATTTCGAGAAAATCGCGCCACAGAGTCCCCACACGGATTCGCTGTGCTCTTCATGATTTCCAACGAAATCCACAGATTACGCCCCACACGGATTTGCTGTGCTCTCCGTGATTAACAAGGAAAGTCACAGATAGCACCCAACGCGGATTCTCTGTGCTCTGTTTATTCCTGTTCAATGCTGCAGACAGCCAGACTGATTGAGAGTGCTATTGAGAGTGCTCTAGAAGATCGAAATCGAGGAGCGAAATACTCAATGATGCAGACAGCCAGACTGTTTCGGCCAATGAGGCCTCATCAGTGCAACTCACAGGTTAAAATCGTATTGAACTGTCAGCAACGGCTGTGCTTTTCATGATTTCCAACGAAATGCACAGATTGCGCCCCCACGGATTCGCTGTGCTCTCCATGATTATCAAGGAAATTCACAGATAGCGCCCCTCGCGGATTCCCTGTGCTCTGTTCTTTTTCAAGATAATCGGGCCACAGATTGACCCCACACGGATTTGCTGTGCTCTGTGCTTTGTCTGTTCTTTTCCAACAACATGATTTCCAACGAAATGCACACATTGCGCCCCGACGGATTCGCTGTGCCCTCCATGATTATCAAGGAAATTCACAGATAGCGCCCCACACGGATTCTTTGATCTCTGTTCTTTTTCAAAATAATCGGGCCACAGATTGCGCCCCACACGGATTTGCTGTGCTCTGTCTCTTATTTTTCAAGAAAATCTGTCCACAGAGTCCCCACACGGATTCGCCGTGCTCTTCAGATTTCCAACGAAATCCACAGATCGCATGCGCCCCACACGGATTTGCTGGCTCTCCATGATTATCAAGGAAATTCACAGATAGCGCCGCCCCACACGGATTCGCTTTACCCTGTCGGTTCTTTTCCCCACACAGATTCGCTGCGCTCTTGATGATTTCCAACGAAATCCATAGATTGCGCCCCACACGGATTCACTGTTCTCTTCATGTTTTTCAGGGAAATTCACAGAAAGCGCCCCACACAGATTCTCTGTGCTTTGTACGTTCCATTTCAAGAAAATCGCGCCACAGAGTCCCCCACACGGATTTGCTGTGCTCTCCATGATTATCAAGAAAATTCACAGATAGCGCCCCACAAGGATTCGCTGTGCTCTGTTCTTTTTCAAGAAAATCGGGCCACAGATTGCGCCCCCACGGATTTGCCGTGCTCTTCAGATTTCCAACGAAATCCACAGATCGCACCCACACGGATTTGCTGTGCTCTCCATGATTATCAAGGAAATTCACAGATAGCGCCCCACACGGATTCGCTGTGCTCTCTCTGTTCTTTTCC